TTTCCTATTAAATGCATATATATTTTACTTTTTTTAGAATTAAAGAACGTCAAAGCATTTCTTTATTTATGTATGTCAAATGTTAATGAAAAAAATAATGCACGTGTATTGGATATCATATGCAACACATTATACTGATCCTATGTTTGAGGATATCGAAAAAATTAGTTAAGTGAAAAATACTATCAAAAAGGCTTTAGAGTTAACTGGCTACCTATACAATCATAAGCTAGTTATTAACATGATAAGGAAATATACTAATGTTGCAAAATTGGTGAGACCATACATCACTTGTATTTCAATTTTATTTATTATTATTGCAAGCATATACAAGTAAAAAAGAAAATTTAAGGTGTATACATATTTCATAAAACTATAATAAGTTAATATTTAATATTGATTTAAATAAACTAAGAAGATTATCATCAAGACTAGCTTTTGAAATGGTGTATCTTACATATCAAAGATTACAAGCCTAATAATTAAAATGTTAAAATTAATAGATGATGACAAATGGTCTGTAATAGATTATATTTATGATGTGACTAACAAAGGCAAGAATGTAATCAGTGGTGCATTTAGAGAGAAAAGAAGTACGGGGAAATCTTTTGTGTTATTGATAATAGATGAATGTGTCGATTTCGACAATCATTGCAACAAGTTGGATATTATCTTAATTTATTTTTTTAATAAGAATAAGTCCAAGATACAATCAGATGCACAATTAAAGACAAACATATATTTGGTTATTAACAAATTAAGAGAAGATTCAAATGATATAATAAAAATAAATTAATAATTTTTTATTTATAATCATACTGCTAATTTTTGCAACTGAGCACACAATTCGCAACAGAGATAAGACGGTTCTAAGTATGATTAATTAAATTCCCACTTTATTTTCAATTTTTAGTTTAATATTTGTAACATGACCTTATGATTATAAAAGCATTGTGTTGAAAGATATATAATGCATTAACACAGAGTTTGAAAAAAATAGTTGTTAAAATATTAAGATTAACTTATATTGTTGTTGGTTGCGAGAAAAAATGAAGTTTCATCAAATAGGTTAGTAGTTTATAAATTTAAACATATTTTTCATATTTTGTGTTTATTTAATTATAATTAATTTTACAGATTCATACGAAAAAGAGAAACTGGGTGGATAAAAAAATGCTTAAATAATTTAGTTTTCAACAAGTACAATTAAGTTTTAATAAAATTAATTTGAGAGATATTATAAATACGATCAATTTGAATTTGATTGATGAAAGTCGTGAGTGATTAATTGGATAAATGAAAGATGTCAGTGGCCAATAATTTAATGATGAGTATCTTACTTAAAGATAAAATGAAAATGGCTTAAAGAGGAATTGATCAATGATGATCTATAATGATCTATAAGATTTAGCCGTGCCAAAAAAAAAAAGAAAGAAAAAAGTGTTTTATCTATAATGATGACGAGTTCATCTCACTTTATCCACTCTTATATCATAAATAAAAAATGAAGTTTATTCAGAAGAGTAAGATGAAAAAAGAGAAGGGAGAATAAAAACATTTAAAAACCTTGTGTTGACTTCATCGTTTTCATCCACTTCCTCGCCCTCCTCCCTAGTTTGAGAGTAACGCAACAAATTTATCCAAAGCAGCCCACTCGAGAGATATTAGCTTCACCTTTATCGTCCAATCTACAGCTAAGGACACTCCAACTCTGAGTTGTGCAATGAGGAGCTCCACCTGCCGAGGGTGGAAGAAAACTCAACAAAAAACTCGTGAGAAGTCTTCATCGTCACCATCTTTTCCATACGGTTTGGTTCTCTCCATGATTCGTTGACGGCGACTCCGACAATCTGAGCACTTTGACTTCAACCACCTTTGCCCGATTTTTAATAGACTCCACTCTACCCTTGGCTGTAGCCAATTTTTTCTCCACCTCCAGCAGGATTGTCAATTAAAAAAGAAAAGTCTCCCAGGCCATCAATTGATATTGGTCAGTCATCTGAACTACACATAAGAAACTTTACTCGTGAAGGATCTTCTTGAAAGCTTGAGATTGAATCATATTGGCGATGATAGAAGTATATGAAGCCGCTAAGGAGAATTCGAGCAACGATCCCTCCTTAAATCAATCAAAGCAAATTGATTGTCGGAGCTAGTGCTCACCTTCACCCTATCAGTCTACGTCTGGACCCAAGCAAGTCGGGGGCCTTTTTGCTTCTTCCAAGGAGGAGGAGGATGCATGACAATCAAATTAATGGATGGAGCTTTCCCCTTCTTGTGATATACCTCCTCTTCTTGGCTAGCTAGCTCGGACTCAAAATCAGGTTCCATTGGAGTAACTGGAGAAGGCTATATGGCTTCACTTGTCGCTGATAGCACGATAAATGTTGGGCTGACCGGTGGATGGATAATTGATTTAACTTTTAGTCATTTTGTTGATGCCTCCCCCTCAATATTGCTCGATTTCAGCCAACTCGACGTCCCTTTCAATTTCTTAGTGTTACACATCCAAAGGACCCCCAACCGATTAAGAACTTTTAGCAAGTATTAAAGAAGCTTTCCTCTCGATATGAATTAAATTGCCAGCGGCGAGCCTTTGATTGACGATAGAAGACTCGAATATACAGTAAACCATGCATGCACCTTCATGAATTTTTCCAGCACGGGCCACTACAGGCGTTGCTTGGCCCGACATCTCAACAGCTGCTGACAGACTTTGCCCGATTAGCCGCTCAGGCTTTCTTCCCAACGGCTTGGGGGAAAAAATTTGCGTACATAAGACGTACGCAGCGATACATGCGTCCTCCAACGGGCTATTGACAAATCAGCATAGTTGGTCCCACCGCATTCATTCAGACGCGACCCGTCGACCCGGCCCGCTCGATTATAACCGAGTTATAACTGAGACGTACCGGATTTATAACCGAGAGGGCCTTTACCGCGGTACCGCTCGGATAACAGGATTGTAACCTTACAGTAACCTCAAAACGAATGAACCGTGTTTATAACCTCGCTGTAACGAAGATGTAACCGAGAATTCAAACCGCGCGTTGTACCTTCTGGGTATAATTGCGTTGTAAGTAAGGTGTAACCGAGTTAAAGTGAAGCGTTACTTTGTAAACGAACTATAACTTCACTGTAACCGAGACTTATTACCGCGCGTAACTTTGTAAACGAATTATAACTTAGCTGTAACCGAGACTTATTACCGCGCGTTGTAACCTAGCGGTATAGCTGAGCTGTAACCGATATGTAACCGAGAGAAAGTGAAGCGTAACTTTGCGGTAACCGTTTGAGAAATTGAAACGTTCGTGTAACTTGGTGGTAACCTAGGTAGTGAATGTAATCTTCATTTAACCCCACTGATCATATACCCGTGGTAAAAAATTTCGTGAGAGTAAAAATTCGTATTTGCCTTCGCGCCTAGGGTTTGCATTCAGTCGAACGTTACGTCGAGGTACTGGTGTTGTTTAGGGTTTAGTCGAAAATGGAGGACAGCGGCAAGGGCACGACGTCGTTGGAAGAGGAGAATGTTGCCCATTTTGAGGAGGCGGAGAAGCCAGATGTCGAGGAAGGCAAGAAGTTTGAGGCCGAGCTGCCAAAGGTAATGGTGAAGGGTGGACGCAAGAAGAAGGATTTAGTTGGCTCTAAAACGGGAAACACAGATGAGACCAAATCCATAAAGCAACCCAAGGCCGTTTCTAGGTACATTTCATATTTTGCTTTCGTCAATGTTTAATGGTGAGTTTAATTTCTTGAGTTATATTAATTGTGAATGATAAAATTTTAAATTTCTTTCATCATTATTTACATACTTTAACATACATTAAAATTAAATGTAGGTTTCTGAGCGCAAAATCAATGAACTGCAGATGTCGTCCATCTGCAGTACGAGAAGCTCTGGATAAGGTCCGGCCCACCATCGACGAGCACACGTGGAATAAATTAGAAAACATGAGCTTGGTTCAATTTTTTGAACTCCCTCCATACCCACAGGATCATATTCTGACAATGCATATAATTAACTGTTGGAATATTGATCGAACGACGTTTCAGCTGGGTGGGAAAGAACTGAAATTTGATGCTGACCAAGTTGCTCTCCTAATAGGCATGCCAAATAGAGGGTTGCCCGCATCCTGGAATAAAGCTCCATCATGTAGTATTGATGCGAGACAAATGAAGACCCAACTTATCAACTTTGACCCAGGAGAGTCTTCTGACCGTTTCATAGAATTATTAATAAAGTTCTTATGGACTAATTTACTTTTTCCTTCAAGTAATTTTAGAGTTTCCAAGCAGCTCACCTCTATTTGCGAGGACGTTGAAGCATTCAGCTCGTATAATTGGCCCGCGACAGTGTGTGGCTTTCTGATTGATCAATTGAACCTATGTGCTGTGAAGCTTAGGACGGATCAGCCACTTGGATATATTACTGGCTTTGTCTTCCTCTTAACGGTTTGTCCCGACATTATTATTGAAAGCTCTTTTCATTATTGTTGATTTTGATACCAATTAGTTAATTTAACTTGCTTAACACAGCTCTGGTTTTATGAGCACACATCATTGGTCGTGCCAGCAGTTCCTGAGGCTAGACCCCGAATGATAAGATGGCCAGTAAATGTTAGATGGAATGCTATACAAATTCAACTAGCGTTCAACATGCTCAGCCCTGCCGAGGTTAATTAAATAAAGTTCAATAATAGTTTGT